CTCGCTATGCATAGTTTAGTACAGGTAGAGCAAGTAGATAGTAAACGTCTACTACATCCGATCTGGGTTATAGAAATCCCAGGACAACTATAAAGAATATACGGTATATTCTGAGGTATATTATATACCTCAAAACTTTTTCCAGAAAACGCGCTGAATTGAAAGAGAGAAAAATCGTATAGGTAACAAATAGAGTACCACCGGGTGAGATTATATGCGCGGACTGCTCCGCAACTGTCGCGTGAAACTCCACGATTGATGACAAATGGTTGTTCCTTTTATATTACTATATGTGATTTAAACACCAATTTCTCATGTGCTGAAACAGTTTACAAAAAAAAACATGCAACTCACTGACTCAAATTGAAGGCTGCGTCGCGCCATGCCGACGCTATCTCGCTATCGGATGATAATCTAGCGAACTCTCGAAATCGCCGGCTCTGAACGGAAACACAAGAGTGCCGGATTGCAGTTACTGCTACGCGATATGCCAATGGTCGACCACATGTGAGGAATACAATCGGTGACAATATGAAAATTCTGAGGGAATTTTGCAAATTTCTCGACACTTCTACCCAAATCCGTATGCGAACTCCTATGATCAGCTTCGGAAACTCCTGAGCTCAGCTGAGGAAAGCGAACATATATTCCTACTCCAACACTGCTGCTACACCCTACTGCAAAACCAAGCTCACCATCTGCTGACGTAGTTCTGGATTCACATTCTCCATTGCGTGGTCGTAGTAATCATATGATAACCGCTCAATCTGGGTACTCGTTATTTTAGGTAATCTCTCAGCAAGCTCCACAAGTATCTAAGAAAACAGTCGATTCCCGAAGAGGTTATTATCAAGGGAAAGCCGACGGACGATATTCACCTTTTCTATTGTGACTGCGTCACACGCGCCACTCGCGAGAGCTGCGAGGATCTGCGGCGTGCTCAAGTCAGACACTTCCAATGCAGACAGTGCGTTACCAAAGACCACTCCTGGAGAGAAAACAAATCACCAAGAAACGAAACTCCATCGAAACGGTGCTAGCGGAGTTGTATATTGCAACGCGGCCGATTTCGATCGCTATTTTTTCCATGACTACAAAGAGTTTGAAAACAGTGGAGGAATAAATAGGGCGGTGACTGAGTGAATATATTCACAGGAGTACGGTAGTCTCCATGCAAACACTAGGAGAACATTTCTCGGGAGGAATAATATCGAGCCGCGAAGTTTTCATATTGTCACCAACACATGTAGTTGACCATGTGCATATTTTACCACACAAATATACACCATAACTCATCTCCATCACACGCTGTGAGATCCACCAGCGTGATGAAATGAAACTCACGCAGAAGTTCTTTCGGATGGCGTTCTTTCATCGACATCACTTGTACCATACACTCAGCAGCCTCGCGTCCCACACTAGAGTGAACTGAAATAATTAACTACTCATCTGAAGAGGTATTCCATCTGTCATGCTTTTACGCGCTCTCCGATACACTTCCGCTCGAGGTGAGTGCGAGTCGTCCAGCTTTAGAAAAGGCAGGCACTTCACACACAGGGAAGGGTTGCGTTCGCTATCAGCGATTATTGCTCTACAAACTCGATCGCAATCCCAACCCAGAGCGTCGCTGGCCTTGAGCAGTTTGAGAAGCTCTTCTGAGGTATACCTATTGGAAAAACAAAGCGCAACTTCTGGAATAAAATAAAATTTGAAAACGCCTAGATAAATTTTCACCCTATCGAAGATAGACCCCGAATGACCAGGATGGGAAAATATGCACATGGTGAAAATTTCGAGGAAATTTTTATTAGTTTTTATTGGTGCAATTGTACAACAATTCCTCACTAGGATTCTATGGTGAGAAAACTCCCGAGCTCAGCCGAACAAAGCAAACATATATTGGAAATTCGGCCGTGCTATGGGAAACACTAGTGAAAAATATATTTCACGACTACTGCATAACGCGAATACTGAGTATTACGCCACTTCACGTAAAACGCGTTTAACTCCAGTGTAACACTAATAAAACTAGAAGCCTGACCTACGCAGTTTCCATCGATACTTCAACGATTTCGTCACGTAACCGTTGCAAATGCTCATCAGATATCCTCACACTGCGTAGTAGTCCATTATCATCTGCAAGTAAAAATTTTATAATGGAGTTTCACCCGTGATGTGAAAAACACTAGTGAAAAACATATTTCACAATTCACTTCGCGAAAAACGGGTGAAACTCCAATGAAGTTTTAATACCCACACACAGAGAGTTTCCTACCAGTATTAATATCAGCAGCTCGAACAGCTAATCGCAAGAGCTCCTCACTCGACAAGGCGCTGACCTTCACAGCATCGAAACAAACAGTTAGCAGTTGTGTCAACTAAAGCACATGTGTTGGTGACACTGTGAAAATTTTTTGAAAAACTCTTGGAATTTCCTGTTAGTTTCTGTACATTTCTACCCGAATTCGCATATAAACTCATATAATTAGTGAGGAAACTCCTGGAAAGCGAACATATATTCCAACACTGTGCGAAACACTTCGAGATGACATTCTGCGAATTTAAGGCTAGTACGACTACGGAACACTCTTAAAACATCGTCAACTGATTCATATTGTTATGAAGTTCGTATTACTCAAAGTTGACTTTCGAACCCCCACAAATTGAAAGTATAACTCCGCATAGCGGTGTATACCCATACTGTATAGTAGATATATACAGCGGAGTTTCACCCGCGATATGAAAAACACTACTAGTGTTACACTACTACTGACTACTGCATATCACCGCGAATATCGGCTATATTTTTCACCGAGTATTACACCACTTCACGTAAAACGGGTGGAACTCCGTAGTATACCGGATATAAAAACACCGAGCCTGGGGTTCGAACCGGAGACCTATGTCGCGTTACAAGGCTAAACATGACCGACAATCTAACCCATCAAGATTAAAAGTGAAGTTCGCTAAACCCTTGGCGAGCTCCACCACTTCATCGAGAAGGCCTAGTACTAATACCAAGTATTGAGTACCAACATAATCTCACCTCAGCAGCATGATCCCTCATTCTTTTCTGACTCATCCCTACGCAGGAATCATGCCCGAGGGAGCGGAAACCGCAAATAACGGTGATTAATGCACCGTTCGACAAGGGGGGCGCTGACAACAGCAGACTAGTGATATATTCACTCTTCTCAGCTGACCTCAGGAGTTTCCAAAGGGAATTTCGAGAGTGTGTCGAAACCAATGAGAATTTTCCCTAAGATTTTCTCAGAATTTTTATATTGTCACCAACACATGTAGTTGACCATGTGCATATTTCCTCCCAACCACACTGCTTCAGACTGCCATTCGAAAATGAGTTTTTACCCTGGCCGTCCTCTCCTTGTCGGACGAAGGCTGATATTCGCTTAGTCAATATTCCCAGTGCACCTGCGTGCAGAAAAGGAAATAAATTCAAATTTCGACTTTCTTAATTTGAGAATTTTCGGAAAAAAGATGAAAAACTTTCGGGAAAAAATCGGAAATTTCCCCTAAAATTTGAGGAAACCGCTCCCTGACTGCGCACAGTATATATGAACACCTTCGTTTCTCGTGCAACACTCGCAAGTATAAAACCACTCGTTAAAATCAAGAACCATGCTGCTAGGTATATTCCTAGCCCTCGACTACGTCGTTCTACCATGTTACCACAAATTGCTCAAGTATTTTCCCAAAAAGTAAAATGCCTTTCTATTTCGCGTATGGCCAACCTCATGTAGTGTGCAGTACATGTCGGCTCGGTGGTATGCAAATGTGAAAAAAATGGTTTCACCCACGATGTGAAAAAAAAACATATTTCACGACTACTGCATACCGCGAATATCGCGTTTTTCACCGAGTTTTACGCGTAAAACGGGTGAAACTCCGATGTGCGTTTTTTCGCAGATGCATTGTAAACATTGGTATGAGCATTGATGTCGTCATAGAAGTAACCATCTCAAATTGCAAGAGCAAGAACTTATCAACTATGTCATTCGCCGCGAAATGTGGGAAATATGCATGCGCTGTTGGTGACAACGAGGAAATTCCGAGGAAACCTAGGGAAAAATTTTTTAGCATTTTCCTAAAATTTCTACCCAAATTTCTATAATTAGTTACTAAAATCCCAAGTTCAGCCTGGGTAGCAAAACATATATCCCAACACTCTTTCTCACAATTCTGAGTGAAAGAGTGGAGTTCCACAACCCGTTTTACGCCAAGTGGCGTAAAACTCGGTGAAAAACGCGGTGATATGCAGTAGTCGTGAAATATGTTGTTCACTAGTGTTTTTCATATCACGGTCGTGAAACTCCAGTAATTTCCTAAAACAGATGTGGGATTCTTAATCTTACTGCTCGTCAAGCCAGGGGGTCCAACTTGAAAACGACAAAGGGCTTTCAAAGTTTTCCCAAATGCCGCCCCAGCCTCATCGTCTTTCGAAAGATGAAGGCCGTCACTCTGCCCTTCAGTGAGCATCAAGAGGAATCTATTAACCCACTCCTCGAACACCTGCATACAGCGTCGTCAACATAAATTGGTGCTCTTCAACGAGGTGCGGTATGGTAGAAATAATCACACCTACCACATCGTCTGCCAGTTTTATAGAATCCAAACATCCTGGAATCGCCATCAGTTGAGCAGTATCTGATCGCGACTTTTGAAAATTATTGCAATTCTATGGAGTTTCACCCGTGATATGAAAAACATATTCCACAACCCACTTCGCGAAAAACGCTTCTACCCGGCGAAGAAGTTTCTATCTACGGGAGTGTTCACTCCATATGGAGTGTTACGCCACTTAACGTAAAACGCGTCGTGAAAGTCCATTCCGAACTCACCTGCTTGTGGTACAATTACCTTGAGAAACAGATCGACGAGCTTATGCTGTGTCACCGAGTTTACAACAGTCAGTTCACCTGCTCAACAACTCTGTGACAAAGTGCACGAACTAGGCCAATTCGAGACGTGTATAACGAGCGGAGACGACGACACATTTACACGCGATCAGATCGCGCGCACTCTACGAAGAATGCTTATCGTCATCATCACCAACACGTACCCGCCGCGCGCAGTCCTTCTACTAAAAGGCCCATTTTTTGCAGCTCATTTCTTTGTCGCAATATCTGTCCCATTATCCGATCTCCCTAAACTCACGAGCTGTACATCCTCACACACACATTGTCGCACTCACCAGATGCCGCCTTCCCGGATGTACTTGCTTTATTCCTTTCAGTGCTTCTGCTACCCTCACCAGATTCCGCCCAGTAAGATTCTTATATCGTTCATTTTTGCGTAACGCTTCTGTTCTGAACATATTGGAGTTTCACGACCGTGATATGAAAAACATATTTCACGACTACTGCATATCACCGCGAACATCGCGTTTTTCACCGAGTATTACGCCACTTCACGTAAAACTCCATCGAAAAGTGGTGTAATACTCCATGTGAAAATCGCGATATTCGCTATATGAAATGAATCGAAAACACTTGGCGAATTACAGCAAACACTGCCAGGTGACAGTACATGGTGCCCAGTACCGTGCGTGATCAGTACAGTACGAGTACCCGGATAACTTCTGTCCGGGTACTCCTACTGTACTGATCTGTCCATCGGACAGATCACCTTATACCTCCTAATAGTAATGGAGTTGCACCCGTTTTACGCGAAGTGAAATGTGCTTTTCACATCACAGGTGAAACTCCAATAATACAGCTATAGCCCTAATAGAGCAAGCTACCAATGCCAGAACGGGATTGAGCACGAAAGAAGGCAGTTTATGCCACGTAAAACACATACCACGTGTTTTACGCGTTATTCACAGCTAACATGCGTTTTTCGCAAAGTGGAATGTAAACTATGTTTTTCACTAGTGTTCTTCATATCACTTGTGAACGTTAACTCCTGAGTCCAGATCAAACTCTTCCATTTTTCCAACGATCGCATCCAACTGCGCATATTTTTCCTCACTGAACTCACATTGCTTTAGCAGCATCATTGCTCCTGAGTAATCTCAACACCGACATACTCCAAATCAGCCGACCCAACTGAACGTTCGTCAAGCGGTCGAATCTCTCAGGATCTTCGATGAAGTAATTCAAAATTCTGAAAACGAACATAATACAGAAACAACGAACGATTATCGTTGGGTAAATTACGTAACCTCATTTTTCCAGTGTCACCAGTATCAATGGAGTTTCAAATCCCGTTTTACGTGAAGTGGCGAAAACGCGGTGAAAAACGCGGTGATATTCGCGGTGATATGCAGCAGTCGTGAAATATGTTTTTCATATCACGGTCGTAAAACCCCAGTAATACATAGTTTTGCAGTCTATAGTGTGAACCATATCTTCATGCGAAGTAATATTTTCAACGTCTTAAATTTCCCAACGCTCGAATGTCAACTTTTGATGACAATGCTAATCGATTGAGAACATTCCTAAAACATTTCGCACTCTTTAAAATTGAATAACGCTTCCCGTAATATACCGCTCGAAATGAAGCCATCGAGGAAATCAAAACTCCACCCTGGAGGAGTTACCTCACTGGCACTCCGCGTTTAACGAGCTCTTCACACTTCCGTTTGGGTATGTGATGAACAGCACACTCTGCGAAGGCCTATATAACAATGAAAATTCACGACCGTGATATGAAAAACACATTTCATATTTCACTTTGCGAATACGTAAAACGCGTGATAGCCGGTGAAAATCGCGTTTTTCACATGGAGTAATACGTCACTTCACGAAAGCGGCGTGAAACTCCAATGATCATATTCCTTCGATTTGGAGTAGCACAAAAAAATACAGAAAGTGAGTTAGACTAGAACCGACTGAGAAAGTTTGAGGAAAATTGGATTCTCTTTACCTACACAGTGTTGGAGTAGGAATATATGTAATCGCTTTCCTCAGCTGCTGAGCTCAGGAGTTTCCTATACAGTGTTGGAGTAGGAATATATGTAATCGCTTTCCTCAGCTGCTGAGCTCAGGAGTTTCCTATACAGTGTTGGAGTAGGAATATATGTAATCGCTTTCCTCAGCTGCTGAGCTCAGGAGTTTCCTATACAGTGTTGGAGTAGGAATATATGTAATCGCTTTCCTCAGCTGATCTCAGGAGTTTCCTATACAGTGTTGGAGTAGGAATATATGTAATCGCTTTCCTCAGTTGCTGAGCTCAGGAGTTTCCTATACAGTGTTGGAGTAGGAATATATGTAATCGCTTTCCTCAGCTGAGCTCAGGAGTTTCCTATACAGTGTTGGAGTAGGAATATATGTAATCGCTTTCCTCAGCTGCTGAGCTCAGGAGTTTCCTATACAGTGTTGGAGTAGGAATATATGTAATCGCTTTCCTCAGCTGCTGAGCTCAGGAGCTTCCTATACAGTGTTGAAGTAGGAATATATGTAATCGCTTTCCTCAGCTGCTGAGCTCATGTGTTTCCTATACAGTGTTGAAGTAGGAATATATGTAATCGCTTTCCTCAGCTGCTGAGCTCAGGAGTTTCCTATACAGTGTTGAATTAGGAATATATGTAATCGCTTTCCTCAGCTGCTGAGCTCAGGAATTTCCTATACAGTGTTGAAGTAGGAATATATGCTCTCTTTCCTCAGCTGAGTTCACGAGTTCAAAAAGTTAATTATAGGAGTTTATATACAAACTCAGGTAGAAATATGCGGAAACCAATACGACGAATTCCCCAAAAATTGTCACCAACACATGCACTTGTCCATGTTCATATTTTCCCACAACATTGGAGTTTCACCCGTTTTACGTGAAGTGGCGATATGCAGTAGTCGTGAAATGTGTTTTACATATCACGGTCGTTAAACTCCATTGGACTTACGTAAGTCAAATCGCACATGTCGAATACGCGACGACTAGGCTTATGCTCATCCTCCAGCATTCCAGTTGAATCCAGCAAATCGCCGGCTTCGGTCAGTGTTCGCTTCCACAAAGAATAGTGTACTGCAAATAGGAAATTAACGAGCAGCAAATCACTATGGCAACACTACGGAACCGTACAGCCATCTCACAAACACATACCAGTTATGCGCTTGCGACAAGCACTTCATAACACATGATATAACGCGCGATCAGACTAGAGGCACAATCTACCGCAGTCGTTGATACAGGCAATACGCACTGTCGTAGTCTGAATTTTCAGTTATTTTTTTGACACTTCTAGGTCCTCGAGGAACACATGCCTCCCCTCCCCCTTCTTGGGACGTGTGTGAGCGCCAGTACGGGAAAATATGCGTTCACGGAAATTCTGAGGAAATTTTTTCGGAATTTTTTTCTAAATTTCTATACACTTCTACCCGTCGAGCTCGTACGACTAAAAAGACTTTAGCAAAATTTTCCATAATTTTTCCCTCGCGATTTTTACATTGTCACAAACACACGTCGTCGAGCATGTGTAAATTTTCCCATACTAGTGAGAGCACCAGAATTATTCCGCATATATGGATTCTACTTTTCTCAGTGCACTTTGTTGCCTACCGTTATTCGCTCCTTTTTCCGATGTAGTATTATCCTTCTTCACACACTCCGGGCAATACTTTAACCATTCAATGGGTATTCGCTTATTAGTACTAAACAACACACATGGTAGTAGTCGTCATTCTAAGAACAACCTACATATCCTCTCCAGCTACCACATGCGGAGCTGCGACTGTAGAATAGACTCGCAAGAAGGTCCGTCGTGCCTGCATGTGGAGGGAGGCATCGTCAGGCTTCGTACAGTGATCCTATGCACCGGTAAGGACATTTGCAGGAACTACACCTATTCAATCTCAAATTCAGCAATTGAAAGAACAAATTTGGCGAAAGAAATGTAGTTGACACGAAGTCCCGGTGATATCGTGTACGTTTCCCTCAAGTGTGCTCTGAAGTTTCGAAATCCGTTTTACGTGAAGTGGCGTAGAACTCGGTGAAAAACGCGATATTCGCGGTGATATGCAGTAGTCGTGAAATGTGTTTTTCATATCACGGTCGTGAAACTCTGTTATTCTCGACGTCCTTGGAGTTTGCAAGGCTCCATTCTTCGTTACTTCGCGCATTTTCTGTGGGTTCGCTGATTCCTTCACTAATTCACCAACGACTACATCAGTTGAGCTCTCAAGGCACATATCATTCGGAATGTCATCGCTCATGTATCTTGCATGAGAATTTCAAATTGCTTCATTTGAAACCGACAGGCAAAATTTCAAGTCAGTCAAATTGCATGAAAATTGCAGTAAACGCGCAGCTTTATCTGGGGCGACGTTCAATAGACCTCTCCTGAGTTCTAAGAGCGCTCCCAAGAAATGGGGTAGAAATGTACAGAAACCAAGCAGAATTTCCCCAAACTTCCACATAACTTTCGTATTGTCACCATATTATGTGGTTGCCTATGTGCATATTTTCCCACACTGGGGAGTGGGAAAATACGACCTATCTGAGCGCTGTGCCCTCATCAAAGGGCCAACACGAGCGCGTACGCGGCGAACATGAAGAAATGCGCTCCTCTCAACTAGTTGGGATTAAAAAACGAGGAGTGTAAGCAGTAACACAATCCTCACAATCGAGGGATTGTAGTTTTAAATCATATAGCTTTTTGTGGTATATAATAGTATTCTTGTAATCTGAGTTTATCCCTTCTCTTAGGATATACTCCTGATATGACCTCGTCCTTGCTCGAATAGGGCCGCATTAGCCGAACGAGGAGCTTGGGGGCGCAGAAAATATTGGGCCAGAGGGAGAAAATCTTGGGCGCGCGAGAGACGAGGGGAACGGACCTCGCCAGGATCAATCAGTGATAGGTTGTAGCACCTTTCCAAGGCCCAAAAACAACCCGTAATACGCTTTCTTTATAAGGCACGTCGATGGCTCGGGAGGAATTATTTCATCGACTTCATGTTGTTACTAAGCTTGCGGAGAGACCCTCTTTCCAGTAGACCTTTTTCCATTTCACGGCTCCGATGATGGCATGAGTGATTCAAAAAAGGTGTGTTTGGATGAGTTATCTAGCTATGCTCAAAGCATCAACATGCATCAAGCCTGCATTCTTGAAAAGAACTTTATATAGAGCGTTTAAGACTACTGCGATTCTATCGGACACGACGGGGAAGCCCTTAGTAGTTATCTCTATCGCATATCAATGAGCAGAGAGACGACGATATTCCCCTGCCGAACGAGCCCAACGGAACCTGATGTTCTGGTGGCGTGCACACAATCGCCTCGCGGTGATGCACGGAGAGCAATTCCTAGTAGGTCTGCATGGATAATCGTCATCGACACTTGCACAGAGAGTTGCCATCGCTGAGGATCTATCCTCAGAGCGGTCTGGAGAAACGTCCAGTACGGATAGAGATGGAGCGAATTTGTTCAAGGAAGCATGCAGGAGACTGGGAAAGAGCTCAGAAGGTTGGTGAACCAGAATTCTCGATGGATAGAGAGAATACGAGTCGTATTATACGTTTGGAAGACATAGCTTTCGAGCTTTATTTCAAATAACCAGATGTACGACTATTCGACTGAATAACCGGTTTCATATGTAGAGCTTCTTGATGGAACACCGGGCAGCCGCCGAGACGCGGGTCCTTGGTGACCGCAATGTCTTGCTGTTACACATAAACTCAACGGCGATCAATGAGGTGTGGATATGTAGGTTTGACAGAGGACAAGAGAAGTGCGACAATTGGGTTGGCTATAGAGAATCGGATGTACTGGAGATAGAGATTGTACAAAGCCTTATTTCGGAAGGCCGCCTTGAAGAGGGCCTCTTCGAGGTCTCAAGCATGAAGCGGCTGGATCTTTGCTAACTCGATTCCGAAAGGCCGCCGTAATAACCTAAATTAGAGCTCCAGCTTCCTTCAACGTATGCCTCTAGGGCTTGGAAATATCTGTCTTTACGGCGGTAGGGAGGGCGAAACCTTTTCTCTACTCCTCTTGTACAGCTGAGGAGTCGGGTTTTCATTCAAGCACCTCCTCGAGGTTGCATCACGAGTGCGCAAGGAAATCTTGCGCACTTAAAACATGATACGTTATGATACTTGACGTATCGGAGTATAATTCACCAAAGACCTCAGAGATAGTACAAACGGAGGAGAGACAAGCGGGAAGATGGAGAAAAACGCGTGCTCCATTTTTGGGCTCCGTTCCTTCATCCATCTGCTACCTAGGATCTAGTACTGGAGAAGGGAACTCCAATACCGCGAATACAATATTCTCTTATGGGGCCGGTATGCCACGCATTCTGTGGGTCTCGAAACTCCACGACATGATTCGATTCTTTCATGGGGCCGGTATGCCACACATTCTGTGGGTCTCAAAACTCCACAACATGATCCGATTCTCCTATGGGGCCGGTATGCCACACGTTCTATCTTCCCCCTATCCACAGCGTGCTGTGACTTTAGTAGCGATAGCAGTGCTACTCGGGCCACTTGGGCGTATGCTTCCACTCCTCGATACTGTCTCGTTTGTTAGAGGAGACGAAATGGCAACGATATTTCAAGGAACAATGGCTTGATGGTCGCGGGACATTAGCGAACCTGTCGGACAAGGATTGGGAGAAACTGGACATCCCAATCGGCCTTCGCGTCGAGTTGCGCAAGTGTGAATGCTTGAGCCTCATAGCCTCAGAGAAGGGTTTTCAGACTGGTGTCGGAACCTGATAAACCTGTCCGGATCGTGAAGCAATCACGCTCCTCATCAGGTGAGCGATCTAACCACTACATTGCGCAATTGCACCTTAGACCAGTGTTGCTAGCGCCACACAAATGTGGATTCAGGTTCGAAGGAATCTTTTGCGAACGGCAGGCTTGGCGGGTAACTCGGCTTTGGTTGTCCAGACTCGAGAGGTATCTCACGTTGAGTACAGGCTATCAGGTTCAGGAACTTCGAGTCACCGGGATGGGGAGGTGTTGATTTCTCTAATAAACTCACCGAGATGCACAACAAGAAGGAAATGAATGTCAGCATGTCAGCTCCAATGCATTTCCCCGTATCTATGTGGTATCTGTTATTGGACTGAATGCGTAGCTCCGTCGTGACCTTGCGACTCCCCTATTTAGACGTTGTGATGGTCCGTTTAGCGACCCGCCACTTTCTCAAGACCTTCAATATATATGGTGTATACTACACTGCGAGCTGATCTATTCACGTCAATAGTCATTCAGGCAATTATAGAGGAGTTCCGCAACAAGCTGAAATCACGAAAGCCAGGAGATATCTATAGCCTAGGCAGATTGTTCCGCAGACTCGACGACGACGGAGACCGGAAAGTGAGGACGAGTCTGTAGCCAGCTGCTTCAACAAACGAAATGCAATCGAATTTGCTCGTTCATTTGAAATGGATCACTTCGCGAAAGTCCGCAACTGGAGTGACCTCAGACTCTCGAGTTGAGAGTCACGAGTTCGGCATCTCCGAATAACTTCACAAAAGTACTCCGACCCTTCTGTTTGATCCGTCAGTTGAATAACGACGAGTTTGAGAAGCTCCTTCGAGAAATCGGCATTCGCAATCAGCAGGTGTGCGCGCTACTTTTCCAGCGCTTTGACACTGACTTATCCGGCACAGTTGACTATGATGAATTCCTCAGGGCCATTCGTGGTGAGTTCGTTCGACTCATGTATACCGGGACTGCCTTTTCGAGAATGCTTCATATACCGCACTCGTGATGGAAGTGTCTAATCGGACATTCGTAGCCTCTTTCAGATGTGATTACTATGTGTTTTTGTTTCTATAAAACAGATGAGCGATGAAAATCCGTGCCGGAGAAATTGCTAGTTTCAACCAGCTCATATCGTAGCTTACAGTGTTAGATCACCACTTCGATTGTGATTATTCATGATGGCGCCACATGGTTCAGAACATCCCTGCGGAAGATCAATTTATATCAGCTCATCTGGTCGCTGGAGCTCTGGCGTTTAGCTCACGATCACCGACGATATCCATATCAGTACTGATCAGGCAAGATGAGCAACCGTCGAAGAGAGGCAGCCGCGGCTGTTTTCGACCATCTCGATTCTAATGGAGATGGATTGCTGACTTCAGAGGATGTCAATTGTGTCAACCCATCGAATCATCCCGATGTAAACATGCGAGAACATTTTCTCGGGACTATGTTGAAATGACTCATTGGTCATCATTCACAGGTCAAAGCTGGCATCAGGCGTCCAGAGGATATATTCGCCGAAGTTATGCAAGTTTTTGACGCTAATGACGATGGAAGAGTGTCCCTTGAAGAATGGCTTGAGTGAGTTGGTTTGATGAATATCGACTCATTAGCTGTCGCTTCTGAAGTCCAAATTTTTACAAAGGCAAAGCCTTGTTGATGCAGCATGAGAGCCTCGTTCCACTGAAAGATATCTGAAAGTCTGACGAAATCATCATTTCGCTCACATGATCAGCGGAGGCTGAACATCTGACAGATATTATTTGTTGAACCGCTCAACTTCATCGTACTCTTCTGTTTTCACTAGCATACTCGGGAGATGGGGAGAGTAGCGTACAGCTCGGGTTCAGTCCAAAATGAAAGTGCCCCGTTTCTCGGTATGGAAGCGACCTACCCAAGATGTCTAATCATTGAACGACAGTTTCTCGCGAGTAATTTTCTTAGGCTACTGTATCAGGTATTATGAGGCTGTTAGCGCTTCTATTGATGACGATGAGATTTTCATTCACATGTTGAAGAACGTCTGGAAGATGCCTGGGTCGGATGGAGACATGGCCGATAAATATCGTGCACGCATGCTCAGGGAGTCTCCCACTGGCTTGTGGTGACTCACCGCGAGTAGCCGCCTTCCATTGGTCAGCTCAACGTTCTCGGGTGGATGATTATCATGTTGGTGCTTCTTTTCATAGAATAACATGTTCTGCAGTATCAGTCTCGAGTTGTCCTTTGGGCATAGTTGTGCGTATTAGCAGAGTCAATACAGTAGCACACCTGATACACATCGGTTCAATCAAACACGGGACATGCATCAATGCATCGCGCACGCGACTTCATCAGTGTGACTGATCACACGAGACGGGTAGATAGATAAATCTTACATCGAAATTCGAGGTCGGCATCCACTTGATAACCCTTCACATGGAATTCAAGGATCGACCATGAAAGGACACTCTACCATGTGGGAGGGATGTGCACAAAGCACGATGGAGAGCAGAACTCGTATTCTCTTGTGAGAACGATTCAATTTGTGTTGAGGTCTTATAACAAAGTTAAGTTACAGGCTTGTGTCTTTCGTTGTGCTACGGAAAGCAACTCTGTGATGCGGACAACAAATGCAGTATCAGTCATATTATATTCTGTATTGGTCTCACGTAGACTAGGATTTAAAGAATGGAAGCCGAGTCGTGCCACTGAACGAGAGAGTCAACGCATCAGATAGCATTCTAACATCCCTGTTATGTTTCTATGAGTGAGACCTAGTGTATTACCGAGTATGATGCCCCTTGGGTCGAGCATCTCAGTATTTTCTCACTATTAAACGGTATAACTTATACCGTTTAAGAACCCACTTCCACCGAGAATTGAACCCGGGATGCTCAACTAGCAGAGGTTATCACTAACCATTAGAGAAGATATGCTCACACATCTCACCCGATCCGCTACGCACAGCGCCTTTAATATATATTCTACACACCGGAGTGTTTTTGGCCACACCGGTGAGATTCGATGACAGTCGGTGAAGTGTCCCACTTAACAAAATCTAACAGTTTCATCCCGCCCGTGAGTGCCTCAATTGCGCCCTTGACGCCGATTGGAGCATGATAGGCTCTCGCCGGTCATATTTATTCATGCTGAGGCGAACTCCTTCAAGAAGATAATCTGAGTTTGTAAGAATATTCTAAAGGAAGTCTTTTTGTAGGTTTTCCAGTTTTCCATCGGCCTCTCGCCTTCTACCATGTCCGAGTGGTCTCCTCGCGCTGATGAGTCCGGTTCAAGCGTTGACAGCGATAATGATTATGAAACTTTCGTGAATTCTCTGCGACATCAGTCCATCGGCGAGAACGAGAGGGTCACTGTTCCTTACGATGGTTCCTCGAGAAAGCTTGTGTATGGATTCGGCCTGAAATTGCAATCATTCTTCGTCTAGGTACTGCGATTTCACCGCATCAGGCCGTAGTGTGTCTGCCATCGAGGAGTTCATTACCGCTACTGTGTGCCCCACGTGAGTGCCCACTTCTTCTGAGCAAAGTGGATTATTAGCTTCCCGTAGATACGCCAACACTCACTCGCTGGCCTCCGCAACTGCACGTCAAACGATGCACTACCGCGAAGAGGCCGAGACAAAGTCGTGAATATTCAACTGCACTACGGAGATCTGTGAGCTATTGCACGAGTTAATACGTTGTGATGGGCCGTTGCTCAGTTATTTTCTGCGGCGCTGGGGCTACAGGGGCCATCACTAAGTTTGTCGATATCATGTGCCGTAGTCGGGTCTTCGCTACTCCGACATCACGAAAGGGACGCCGTCGTGCGGTAAGTGTTGGAGGAATATAAGTTCACTTCCCTCAGCTTCGCTCACGAGTTTTCTCACTGAGTTAAGAAGTTAACACTAACAAACTCGAGTAGAAATGTACATTAACCAATGAGAATTTCCGAAAATTTCCTCGGAATTTCTATGTTGTCATCGACACATGTAGTTGGCCGTGTGCATACTCTTTTCACACTGTGCGGTGAAGTCGTCGCATTTACTCGCACCAGACTGGCTTACCATTCTGTAGGTTCTGATAATCGATCCTGTTGCCCACCATAGTTCAGTCCTGCCATTCCGGGAATTGGCTTTGAGATATCCGCTTGCCCACATTACTCGTTCGAGAGCTGGTGAGCTCGACAATCCTCCATCGTTCTAGCACTGTTCTATTTCTCAGTACCGGGATCTTTCGTCAAGCGGTTCAGCGGGGACAAGTCTGCAGAAGTTGAAGTCGAGCTAGTTGTGCGAAATCCTACTTTCTCATTCAGCACTATACTTTTATCGCTTCAGACTCTCCCTCTGGATTCAATTAAAGGAACTGCCTCGATAAACGGTTTGGAAGAAGTCTTGAAGAAAGTCAGCTGCTGGTGAGAGTCTTTCGTGCTGATGATTATTGGCAGGTTGCGGCCTTTAATCGTCATCATCATGATTTCACTGTCCCCGTGGTCATCCTGTCCGCATGTAGCAACGTCACTGGTGCGCGACTTGATGTATTCCACATCCTATTCTGGCTTGTTACACTGCCTTGGTCCAGATCCCAGCTGTGTCAACTTTAATTCATCAATATAACGGACTCGCTGCATGGGACTTGGCGGCTATCGCTGCTCACAACAAGGTGCCGATCTTCTCAAGGTGACCAGACCCATCAGATGCTGCTTAGGTTGATATGAATTCTCCTTCTCACCCTAACGGTTACATGGACTTCGCTTTTGTATCTCCTCATAAGCTTCTCGGTGGCCCCGGCAGTAGCGGTCTTCTGCTGTGCAAGAAGAAGCATCAGACCAACGCCGTGCCCGCTGTATGTGGTGGAGGAGTTGTTCTTTACGTTAGTCGTCGCGGCCATCACTATCTTGGCAATTTGGAAGAACGAGAGGAAGCCGGTGAGCAGCAACTTGTATCACTCTCCCAATACGTCGTACCGCTCCAGGCACTCCGGACATCCTCGGGTGTATTAGAACCGGAGCCATTTACCATTTACACAGAATGGTCGGAATAGAGAGAATAGCTTCTTCCGAGCAGAGAATGGCCGACTATCTCGCCCATAGGATCAGAGCCCACAGCAAGGTTCATGTTGTCGGTCCCAAGGTGAGTTGAAATACCCATCGTTGCCGCCATTGTTCGTCAAGGATCGATCTCACTGTGCTGGCATCATTTCCTTCAATGTTCTATATAACGAGACGGATACTGCGACGAAGCATGGCTTGTACGGAGCTGAGCTTCTACTGTGCTGTGACGTTGCTTCAGGTATCTGCATTACAATTTCGTAGGAGCTGTGTTGAACGATGTGTTCGGAATTCAAGCAAGAGGAGGTTGCGCCTGCGCAGGCCCCTATGGCGAGGCTCTCCTCGGCCTCAACTGCGGCAGTGCTGAAAGGTTCGAGGAAGCTCTTGGTATGTTGCTCGTCATGCGTCGGTTTAACGCGGTTTCTCTCAGATGATACGCGCTATGAGATCTTCAAGCCTGGCTTTGTCCGAGTGGGAGTGCACTTCACGATGACTCAAGAAGAAGTTGATTTCGTTGCTGATGCGATACTGTGGATAGCCGATAATGGCTGGAAGCTACTCCCTTCGTACACCTACAAGATTATGTCGGGCGAGTGGTATCATATTAAGAGAGACTCGCATCAGATGCTGAAGTAGGGCCTTCGACACAAGTCATCAATCACATATGTCTGTTCAGGAAACTATCTGACGCGCTGAGCCCAGCCGCCTTCTTGATCAAGCCTGATGACAGCTCTCTCGGCAACGGGTCGACCAGACATAGCACGGGCTCTTCGCGTCGTCTGAGCACGTCGACTACTGGAAGGCACAGCGAAGACTACGGCGGTGATGGTTTGCACGCTGCCATTCATAAAGCCGATGTGCTGTGCGCTGTTGTGGTGGACGAAGTGAACTTGTTTATGGGGCCGGTGCGTTTTGTAGGGTCTCCCTGTTAGGCTCGCCGAACCAAACTAGAGCTGCCACTGCTCGATCCGGATGTCGCCGACCTTCTGTGGTTCGCGCATCCTATTGATACCAAGTGGTCCATCATACAATCGTTAACCACTGGTCATACACTTATTCCACAAGTCTGCGTTGACCCGGAGTGCTCCGAGATTTTCGAAACCGCTAGTATTCGCGGGAAGAAGCGTCTCAGGTGGTTCATTTGTATCTGTTGGTAATTGTATTATTCGTTCAGGCCTGAGGAGAGTATTTTCAATATTCGATGTTGGAGTGACGGAGTGGAGCCACCAGAAAGTGCAAGAGAGGTGACAAGGAGTGCTACGCCAGTGTTATAGAAAGCAGCGTTTTGTTTAGGCTGCTCGTAATCGTCAATCAATGGCGAAGATGATGTTGAAGATGATGTGGCTCAAAGT